TCAAATGTGCATATTTTCCATGTAACATGAGAACTAAAAGCATGTCACTTCAACCAAATTGCTTCTCAAAAGTCTCTGACATTGGCTGTCAGCGATGAAGGCAAGGCTGTGATTTTTTTTTCCCAAATCAGATTGAAGAGTATAATGTTTCACATTAATAAGGTGCAGTGATTAGCGCAGTTAGAAGAAGGGAGATGTATTTATAGCTCTGTATCTCTCCTTTTCTGAAGATGCATTAAAATATAACAAGGGGACAGCCAACTAGGAAAAGGGAGAAAGTGCTGTATATTATTTTGGCGGGCCAAGTATTTTTTTTTTTCTAAATAGCTCCCGTATAAATCTTCTGGAATCTCCTGTGTTCCGTTTTATGAATATAACCTTAAAAGGTGATCTACCCTTTCCAGTAAATAAGGATATATAGTTTTAGTGTTTGATAATGATTCCACAAATGCGTGTTGAGTGTTTAAGTCGCTCTCACAAACTCTTTTCCGGGAAAAGAGGTTTGAGATTTTGAGGATCTCAAAAGTGGAGATTTGGAGGGTGCCAACTTGTCTATCGCTCCACTGGCCAGGGCAGGATTCTGCAGCCTTTTACAAAGAGATTCCACAGTTGAAGTGTAGATGGGGAAAGGCTGTCATACAAGCAAAAGGAACGAAAGGTGCTTATTTCAAACAGAGAAGTGTAGTCTCTACTTCTCTGTGTGGGACAAATGGCAGCTGCACCTTGTGCTGTGCTTGTCTGTGGCGCTGCAAGCCGCAAAGCCAAGGTATCTTGATCGCCTGTGTCATTTGGTCAGTTTCCAGATTTTGCATTTCAATGGTCCAAAGATTTTTTGTTGTGGGTATGGTAGAGTTCAGCCTTGAAAGTGATCTGGTTCTGAATGGCCGAAAGGATTGTGGTAAACTGTAGAAGGGGCATTTTACATAAAGATTCACTTTTGTGTACTATATTCTGGGTGGGAATCACCCAATTGTAGACTTAAAGAGTGATTTTAAAATGTCTAAGAAGCATATTGGTTAAAAAATACCACACAGACAGTGCAGGAAAGATTCTTTTCCTGATTTGACACATGCACATCTTTCTTTTGACCTGTAAAGCAGATAGGTGAATTATTGCAGTAGGGAAAAGATGACTAAAACAAAGTAAAAGATGAAAATTGGCATAGAGTGACAAGTGTGAGAAGTGGTAACTTGTATCTTACACAATAATATGTAGAGCCTTTTGTGTTCTTGTCACAGAAGGTTTGTATTCAAATGGTGACAGTTGACAGCTGTTTTTCCCTTAATAAGATTAGGGTAAAGAAATTAGTTGTACGCTCTTTAATCTGCCATTTAACAGTGCAAGCCACCTGGGGCCTGCCTTATCCTGTATGCTCTGAATTTCTAATGAGGTCTTGTAGAACTCAGCCCTAGAGAACGACTAGCACACTCCTCAACACAAACCACAAAGGCCTTTTTTTTCCTGGGTTCCAACACCCGATTTAAGGTTCCGAAAAGGAAAAATAATCTTTTTAATTTTCCTTCGTGTGAACTCCCCAAGTCACGTGCAGGAATTTTTTTGTATCACGGAACAATTTTGTGACAGTTCTGTTTATTTTGTTTCATACGTGACATGTCTGCTTGGGCAGCAGTCTCTCACTAACACCTGCGTCATACTGTCTGTATCGCCCACTTTTTTCTCATGATCCCACCTTCACTTCTCCCTGTCAGAAGAAAGCTGTGCTGCTTCTTTCTGAAGCTACTCACTCTGGTTAAATACGCCTTAGTGCTGTTGGGTCTTTGCCACTTATACAGTCAGCTTGTAAAATGTCCTTGCCATACGCTGACAGTACACATACAGTAGGGATCTGCTTCCAACAGGGACGGACAACTAAGGACCCCAGGAGCTGAACCTTCGATTTTCAATTATTAAGAATAATTAAGACATTCAATACAAGGTGATTTGTCTTTTATCTAAAAATTAGTTCAATTAAGTAATTAAGATCAGGTTTCTGTGGCCTTCGAGGACTGAAGTGGTCCGGCAAAAGTGTTTCTGTATGTTATCTTTCGCACAACATGGAGTGAATGGCCTTTTTTGGTTTTGCTAATTTTATTTCTTAACATACTGCTAGCACATTGTCTGCTGGCCACTGGCTATCTGCAAGATATAAAATCCTCTGGTTTTGTTACTTTCAGTTTTTCCCAGCAGTTCTTCCACTGTGTTGATCATTTGGTAAACACACAGGTGACTGTTTTTGTTTTCTTAGTGCCTCTCACAGCATTTGGTGAGCTGAGCTGCACATCTGTTACAACCTGCAACTGATAAGACCGATTGCTTTTATAAAGCCCCCTTAGTTCTCCAATGTGGCGTGAAGTGACTGTTTCAATCCAAGCTCACTGTTTACGTGTCAGTTTATGCAGAACAAATTTTGCTAAAAACAGCAATCCTCTTTGATTAAATCCTTACAACACTTGCATTTTAATAGTTGTCATCATATTCTTTTCAGAAACGTAATAATGAAAAAACTTTGATTTGAAAGTAGATTTCAAATAATCATTTCTGCAGCTTTCCATCCTCAATTGGAATGATTCTCTCAAATGTACATACTCCAGGGCATTGAAATCATTCCACACCACTTCTCACTGTGCTCCTCAGGAGTGGGGATTTCCTTGTTCTGTAGTGGAGCAAGCGTAAAGCACATGTTCTGTGACAGCTCTCCTGTGATCAGCACACTGTCTCAGTTTTATTGGAGGAGTCTTCCTCTTGTGTTAATTCACTAAACTATCTCCGGTGTTTTTCACTGTTTATTCTTTCAGTTGATAAGCCTTTTTCCCTGTTTTGGATCTGTCCAATGATTCGGAAACTGGATCAACTGCAACCAGTGCATCTGGCTCTGTTTCATTATTAAATGTCACTCTAGAACACTGGAAACTTTAGCACCTTTGACCAGGTACCTGTAAAACAAGTTCGGCAAATTGAAAGCCATTATCAGAACTTCTTGTTTTCGTAGCTTAAGGATAATGAGTTCCAAGCAAAACTGCAACTGCGCTGAAAGCTTACATTTGCACTGCATTTCCTAGGGAAGCTTTCAGACATGCGTGTAATGGGCAAGCCTATTGACTTTGACATCCTCTGCTACAGTGCTGCAGGAGATACAAGAGAACATCAATATGAAAACCAGTCACAATGGAGAGGCCTGGACTAAACTCTTTTAATAGGGTTTTTAAATTTAGCCAGCGAGTCTCAGAATGGGAGCGGATTCTGTTGCTGAGAAGCCGGCTTGGCAAAAGGTATACAAACGTGCCTCTTTTTCCAGGCAAATCAATCACTCGGTCTCACCGCTGGTCTGCTGCCCAGAAAGCACAGTTTGGAAGAGTTCTCACGTTACTTATGTACTCCAGCTGAATGGAGGCAGTATTATCACTCCAGTCAACCATGCCCTTTCCTTTTTGTGCTTTGATATTTTTTAAGAGACAAGCAAAATCGCAATAATTATTTTCTCGTGTTTGTTTGTGGATCCACTGTAACTATAGGTTGTAGTGTAAGCCATTCCTAAAATGAAAATTGAAGGGAACTGGTTTTGAGAGTGAGAGGTAATCCCATTCCTGCACATCGCTTGCCATCAAGCCTCAGGTGACTGCTCAACATGGCCATATTATAGTGTGGTTTTGGAATGAGGAGCACTTTCAGAAATCACTTGCCAAGCATTTTTATGTATGTTCTACTTCTCTGTCGAACCAAGTGTAAAACAAATAACCAGACATTTTTGCAAGTTATTCCCTTTTATTAAAATGATGTAGGGTACATTATATTGTTTGCATTTTACTTTAACTAATGTTCAATTTACAGGATTGGAATTTATGTTTTAGGATGCTATGTTTTCTCAGTTTAGACTTTTATGTCACCTACTGTGATGTAGATGCTTAATGAGCTTTTTGTCTAAGTTCATGTGGCTCCATTAATAGTCCTAATCTCAAATATGTCTCAGTAAATTTGGTATTTTTGTTCTAATTGGCTGCAAATAAATTATTATTATTTATATTATTATTATTGTCCACAGAGGCAGTTGACCTACATCACAGTGTGGATTTTTTTATTGAATACGCCATTGAGGTTTTGCTGAAAATGGGTAGCAGATGTGTTGGTTATGGTAGATATCAAAATGTTTACGGCTTGAAATAAACATGGTCTGCCTTCAAATGGGAAAATCGGATTCCATTCTTAGAAGGAGAAGAAATGACGTGCCACTCTGTTTTTGGTTAAAATATACAGTTGTCAGAAATTATTAGATGATGAAAGTTGTTGGAGGGCAAGTGCGTCAGTCTAGAATTAGTCTTATTATCTCTTACATTAATCTCCTCTGTAGATTGTTTAAAACAGACATAAAAATGATTGAAGCTTGTTCACTGGCTAATTTTTAATGAAAATCTTTCCTCTAAAGCTCTGCAATTATTACATAGAAGGTAAATAAACTGCAGTTAAAGGTTTGTGCTTGCATTATTGAAAGACCTGTGACGCAATAAAACAGTGTGCATTCCTGCAGCAAAAACACAAATCTTTTAGTTTTAGTCTGCAGAGGATGAGTTTGATTTTGAGGTACAATGTTGATTTTTAAACATTTTTCAATCTGGCCCTTGTATGTGGAAAGGCCCATATTAAGGCTTTCCTTCATGGTGATTCCACAAGAAGGACTACTCCTCTGCAGCAGAGCACCTGATACCCAGTTCTGTTACTGCTTTCAAGACGTGTCTACCCTTGTGGTTATTTTTGAGACTATTTAATAAACTGTTGTAATATAGAGGTAAAAAAGGAAAACCTGGGATGATAGTGGTTGACAGGACCCCAATTGTATACTCATTCTGTTATGTTCTGATAGGCCATTCCACAGACCCTTAATATCCTCTTGTCAGCCGACTCAAAGGCAAAGTCAAAAGGCACGCCTGGTTCGAGACTGCTGTTGCACTTTGAGGAATTTCCTGACATAACTTTAATTTGTGCATTTTCCGTTCTCTCATCCACAGAACCCTGTGCACAGCCATAAATACCTACTACCTAGCATGCAATACCTGCTACAGCAATTGCTCTTACATCCTGTTTGGTAACAAGATCACCTTCCTAATGGATCTCCTCATACATCAGTTAACGGTACGTACCCGCTGAAAGTCACACAATAAAATTATATTGCAATCTGGGTGGATATGTAAGGATAGGCATAAGAATAGGCACTTGTATTTCCATGAATGGCTGCTATTGTTTGTCTAGCTCACTCTCAGCTGTCACTATGTCTTTTTTTGTTCTTTCTAACTTGCACCGTAGTGCTCGCTGTGGTTTGTCCTAGTTCAGCAAGTCCTTTCATTTCTTTCCATTCTGTGCCGACTTGGTCCTTTCTATTATTTCAAACCACGTCAAGAGAAATTAAATTCTCCACACAGAGAATCCCTTTTAATTTCTGGTGACCTGTCTATCATAAGATATTTAGTCTACAATCCTTTTGCTGAAACTGGGGGGGGGGTGTATAATTCCATGAGCCAGGCAATTTGTTAATTGAAAAGTTATGTACGTGCCGTGAATAATTTAAGCAGAGCACCACTGGAATTGGCTAGACATTTTCAGATGCAGATGAGCACTCCGATAAAAGAAAGGTCTACTGTGGTTGTGAGGGAGGAAAGGGGATTTTAAATACACCTTTGTTTTATCATATTTTTACAAAAACTAGGTCAAATATAAGCGATGCAAAAAATCTACTTACCCTCAAAGGAAAAAAAACCTTACTAATGATTTTGTTAGTGTTTTTTTTTTCTGGCAAGTGGAACCTGGGAGATATGGTGCAATTGGCTGTCCTGTGGATATAATCATTATGGACTCGGTTTTAATTAAAGGCAGCGAAAGACGCATAGCACCAGACCTGTTTGGCACCAGATTGCTTTCAGCAGTGGGAAGGAGGCAGAACATAGGCTGTATGGCTAGTTGCACATAAGAGGATATCCTTCATCACTTTTTGCAGGCCATACGCATCAGGACATACCAAATACCAGAGTCTGTCATTGTGGCTTCACATGAATAAACATGCAGACCTGAAACACAGTACGTTCTACCTACCATGATACCTATCCACACAGCCAGCCAGAATGCACAGCCCATTCTTGAAAAAAATCTTTGGTGCATTTTTGTGTTCCTAATCTCAACCTGCACATGAGATTTTTTTTAGGGGGGGCTCCATATACAGGTACTTTCATTTACTGTACCATAGAGAAGACATTGATCTGGTATCTGTTATCAGTTTGAACAAGGCAAGGTCGGCGTTGTTTTTCTTGGGATTCATCTGTGAAGCAAACTCTGAGGATGGCAAGACGAAAAAAACTTTAGCATTTTTACCCCACGGAACGAGAGCAGTAAAGAGGTTTCTGTGTAGCTATGTCCATTAATGATGTTTTCAGAAAGCAAACCTTTCTTTTTTTGCAACAGGCATTTCAAACTCTCTGTAAGTGCATATGCTCGTTATTTTCATGAGTAAATGGTGTATACTGTACATACGAAAAACTATACAATCTTAATATTGTCAGTCGTTTTTGGTCTGAAAGCGTGTACGCTGATAAGACTGTCTAAGCCCTGTAGTTGGTGTGCCAACAATTTCCATACCGTACTGGAGGGACAGTTTTTGTTTCTTTCCTGTTTTTTTTTATTAAATCGTTAGTTGTAGTTTGTTCACTGCTGATTTTTGAGATTACTCAGTTGCGAGTTGGAAAGACAGAGGTCAGGTGTGTGACTGCAGGGCTCAGTTCAAGCAGCCTGTGGCGGATACCTCTCTTGAGTGGCGTTGATAGAAACCCTGCTCCCTAAGAGCTCTGTGCATGTCTGTTTGTGTGTGTGGCATGAACTTCTGCCTGCACTCCTGCCCTGTAATTAGATTTGCTGTCAATGCCTCCACATTTGCCAACATATTCTTACTGTATTACTTACTTGTTTATCTTCCTTAAGATTCAGATGGTTAAATGTTTTATTGACCCACTGACTTAAAATGAATCTGGCTTGTTCTCTGCAAGTCAGTAAGTCTTTTTGCTCTGAGAACAGTGAGTTTCAACCATGGGTCCAGGGACTGCTGTAGACTAAACGTGTTTCTAGTCCATCCCTAGAAACAGGCAGCCTTTCTGACTGCATGTATAAGGAATCTGTTGATAAACATTTAACAATTTTAGCTAATTATTGACTGACAAGTTTAAATTAAATGATTTAATTATTTCAATTTGATTTAATAAATATTGGGGCATAGCTGTGAATGATCTCTAATGGTCCTGTATTTTCTACAGGAGTGGTAGGCAGTGTGCTTCTATGTCATAACAGTGTGTCAGGTCTATATGGGTACCAAGGCTGCTCATAATGTGACAGTCAATGGCCGCAGTGCAGTGTGCTCTTATAGTAGCACAGCTGACGTTTCCATCTCCACTGGGCAGTGGAGTGGAGAAGGGCAAGTGTATGCAGGATTGCAATATGACAGTTTCTTACAGTTCATTTACCATATGTCTTTAGAACATGTGTACTGTATGTAGATTTTCGGGTCTCTTTTATGCACCAACACCTGTAGAACTAGGAAGAGCTGTTCAACTGGTCACAAAACAAGTTGATTCAGGTCATTACCTGCCCAGCTGGACTGAAAGCCTTGTAGATACACCAGCCCTCCTGGACCAGGACTGGGGACCCCTGCTGTAAGCACAAACCACCTCTCGTCTGCGAGTTGTCTCATGTTTGTGCCTTTGGAAGCAGAGTATAGAATCTGCCCAGCTAGCCAGGTTATCTGAACAGAGTTACACAGTCTGAAGGTTTCCCTTACAATCTGGAAATACTTCAGAGACTTCTCACTTGCCAGCTTCTGGCATGCAACCAGAAATAATCTGTCACAGTGAGTTTTAACCACCAACTTATAGCCCAAAGCTAATGAATAATAAAAAAGCGTGCTTGTTGTTGTTTGTGTTACAGCGAGACAAGATTCCAACTAAGACTGATGGGCTAAGCAAGTGAACAAAAGGAGTTTTATTTGTGTGCTATACCTTAATTGGGCTTATTTTAAAATGCATGCTGTGGTTTAAATGATCCTGTTCCTTATTGTTCACTAATGGACACCAAAACTAGGTCAGGCTAAGGTAATATTTGAAGGCTTCATTGGTTTTGCTGACTTGTTCCATCAATGCTATTCAATTTTTGTTTTTTTGACAAGGAAGAGAATTGACTAGAATGGTGTCGAGCTTTGAGGATGATTATTTTAGAGCAAGTCCTTGTCATTGCTAATTGTGATAGTTGATTGTTTTTAGGTTTCTAGATGTTATTTTTTCTATAGTCATTCCTTCCCGGTCAAAATTGTCAGGGCTAGCAAGCAAACATGCATTAATGAGCAATTTTAGGGTCCAATGACCCAAATTTCAAGATTCAGTGAGCCATCATGATGAACCCCTTTTACATTTTAAATAAGATGTAGGACCTGAATATTATAAGCTGCTGACAGGTAGTTGTCACTAGTTTTAATCATAATGTGATCTCGATATTTCTAAGACCTTCATGCTCTCATTGTGTTTCCTGGGCATCAGAAAAATGATCCACTATGTGTTTGCAGTGTAATTGTGGTTTCTGAAATCAGGATTGCTAGGTGAAAATGTGCTTGAATGGTCTTAAATGTATCAAGGCAGGCTGTAATAGGAACAGTCAGGACCTTTCAGGATGGAGACAGACATGTGTATGATTAGGAACCTCTCCTAGACAGTTAAATAAATGTTAACAGCTTTATGTGAGTGATACTTTTTTCTCCATCTCTTGATTTTTTTTAATTTGTGCAATTTTGGCTGTTTGCCTTTTTTTGCATATCATGGTATGAAATTACACTTCACATATTTCCTAGACTAACAGTATTTAAAAGGGAAAATTAGATACTGAATAAGCATGATGAATAGGTATGTGGTTATTGTTAGCAGTTACAATTAGATGAACAAATTTCTTGTAATAGTGCCCACTTCAGTCTGTGTGGTAGACAGGCAAATCCCTCAACTGAATTGCTTGGTGTGCATTTCCCACTGACAGAGCAGGACACCTCCTCGAGCTGTGGTGTTGCATCACAGCAGTTAATCCCATTTAAAGATCCGAAATAAATATACAAACACAGCAGGCAGTTTGGCAGTGCAACTGTGCATCCAAGCATCCCTACAAGGGTGAGAATGGAAATGCTTTGAAAAGCTGAAATCGCTCGTCGGTTTCTGAGAACAAGGAACAAGTTTGAGCGATGGCTATATAAAAAACTCAAACACCGGGATTTCTTTTTGTGTGCTGCACTGTCCAAGAAGTCCTGTGTGTTTGACTGGTTTTGTCGAAAATCTTTTTCTTCCTGATTTTCCACCTCCAGCACTACGTCCCCGATGAAGACCAGTCTATCTGTGGGCGGAGTGTGAATAAGCAGGTCTTTGAGGGGCTGACGACGGGACTGCTCCAGACCAATGCCGCAGTCCTGGATTTTCTGCTCTCTTCCCCTCCTGAGGGTGGCACTCCTTCCAACACACCCCGGGTATCGCCACAGGAGACCAGAATCAAGCCCACCTGCGCTGAGGCCTTCAACAGTAGAGTACAGGATCTGATCAGGTACACCAAGCTCTGTGCTGCTAGCAGAACTGCTAGTGATGCCACCACCAGCCTTCAAGAAGGCTTGGAGCAGTCAGAGCGCTGTAAGAATAAGATGACAAAATCTGGAGGTGATTGATATTTGCTTATAAATTATACCTGCGTATATTTAACGAAGGCCGTGTCAGGCTCAAAACTTCGGGGTCCTCGGAGCAGTTCCCGCCTTGATCGCCACTCTCCATGTGGAATATGCATTTTCTTCTTGTGTTCATGTTCGGTTTCCCGGAGAGCTTTGGTTTCCTCCCACCTCCCAGAGACGGGTCTGATGAGCTATTTCGGATTGTTTGTCCCAGGGTTGGATCCCTGCTCCCCATTAGGAAAATAGCTGGGCGCTCCACCTCATTACTGTGTCCTGCCGGAGTGTCTGTAGTGCCCATCTGACACTTTTCATCAAGTGCTGGCTGCATAGATGGATAAGTATGTAAAATGATATGCAAAGACCTACTGGCGTAGCTCCCCTCACCAGGCATTTTGCAATAGTATCTAGCCCAGGTCTAAAGAATGGCATACATAGTTGTAATATTTTAGTATAATATTACAGATTTCCAGCTCCAATACAATATGTCAGTGCTGTATCACAAAGTAAAATAGTATAAGAGCTCAGTATCTGTCTGGAAGTTATTTATTTTGACTTTTCATTTCTGGCCATGAAGTTGACTAATATTGTACTACATGTGCATTATATTGTAAAGCATGCGACTTGAGTCTATTCGAATGTGCTTGTTAAGTTAAAGGTTTGGCAGGTTTGCTTCTTAGTACTTACATTTCAGCAACACTGTGTGATTGTATTTCAAAATGCTTACATATAATTGTGAGGAGCTAAATGTTTGTTTTTCCTTAGAAGGAGCTCTTGAGATTATTCATCTAAACCTTGAAACCAAACGAATTTTAATCTGGCTACTGGAAATAGTTGTTGCTGCGCATTATTATGTAGGCCAGTCAAACCCCAGCAACACTGTTTTCTATCAAATGCTTGAGGTAAAACAAAGTATTTTGCAAAACCATTCTAAAATACCTTTGTGTAAAGGAAAATGTTTTTAGGCAGATTTCTTTACTGGATAACCTTAAAAGTCATTTCATCCCATGTCATATTCCTTTTTTTTCTTTTTTTCACACTTCTTTTGGTTGTCTTCTCTTTATTAGACATGACACTGCATTTTTAAGAAAGACACTCTATTTTTTTTTAAATTCAAATAAAGGCCAAAAGAAAATATATCGTCTTTTAGGGTAACTCTACAAGGAATTAAGATATATTTTGCTTTGCTGGACTTCCACCCACATCAGTATTCAGTTGAACATTCCAAACACACAAAATAAAATGACAGGACTGAAGGTTGTTATCAGAATTAGATTTTTTAGAGATATCTTGTGGAGTCACACAGCCACTTCAGTCTTGTCTGCTTTTTTGTAACAAAAAGTTCTTGAGTTCTCATTTGGACCTTCAGCTATGGACCCCAAACACTGAAACTGAAGGGAGACAGGACTTATATTGCTCTTTTATGAGTGCTTCTCATTGTCAAACAGCCAACCAACAAGAAACACCTGTCAGCCAATTATCCCAGTAAATAAAGAGGGTGAACACGATCAATTTGACCCAAGACGGTATTCGTAATAAAATGTTTGAGCTCTACTCATCATTCATTTTTTATGAGAAGTGATCATTCTGATTGGCGTCCCATCCAGGGTGTATCCTGTCTTGTCCCTGTTTCTTGCTGGGTTGGGCTGCGGCTCCCCTGTGACTCTGTATTACTTCAAGTGGTTAGAAAATGGATGGATGCTTATCTTTAGAATTCAGATTTAAAAAAAAAAGTTTTGATTTCAGTCCAAATACTATTGGAAAGCACAAAATCTGAATTCAGATATATTTCAACAAGTTTTTTTAAACTGACAAGAAGGACGGTTAAGGGAGAAAATGCAGCAATAAAATAAATTATAATAGAAGCGTAGAGAATTTATTTAACACCACTATTTTTCATGTATAAAAACTGGTATGATATGTGAATAGCTATAAAAACTAGCCAAGACACTTCAGGTGTTGAAACCCAGGCTGAAACCCAAGGAAAAAAGAGGATTTCTTAGCTTCTTTTGAGCTCTAATGAAGGAATACACGAAGATAAAGTCATAGTCTTTAGTTCAAGTGACAGGTGACCTATTGAGGTGAGGTATGGGGGGATTCTAGTTACCAGCATTTGAGAGCACCTCTTTCAGGTGACAGCAGGCAACAAAAAGAAAGAAAGAGAGGCAGAGCCAGGGAAGTCACGTTAAAATTGCAGAAGGGTGTTTTCGTCTGAAGTGAATAGGCGTTGACGTGGTGGGAGGTCTTGTGATTGATAGCTTTGTACCGTCATGGACATTCAACACTAGGTGAGGATAAGCCAGGAGTCGGACACACCTTGGGGCAGACATACCTGAGCTGGAGACAGAGGCCCGAGGGCTGGGGGCCGCGGCGCTGGGAGGTTGGAGGCCTGGCGATGGGGAAATGGCACAATCCCGAGGGATTTGTTACTGAGTAGGCGGAGAGTGACTGCTCCTCAAACCTGTCACATGCAGACAGATTAGCAATATTATAGTAATAAGACACAGCAGGAGGCTTTACCTTAGAGGTGAGGGATCAGATGTCATTTCTGGTGTTTTGGGTACAAATTACAGTGTAGCCCTTTGTGAGTGTCAGGGGCTGAGCAGAATGTTAGTGCTAATGTTCTGACTTGTAAACTGGAGTGTTTTTAGGCACAGAGGATTGCAGTTTGGGTTTTTTTTTTCCAAAAATGTCTGGACATGTCTGCAGAAAGTTATCATTGAAGAAAATAAAACTGGCCAAGCACAAAGTCCTGTATTTCTCTAATAGTTTACCTGATGGGATGAGTTGTTCATCATAGGGTTAAGGGGCATTTAATCAGATTCTCACCACTGCAGAAACTTAAACTTCAGGACTGCAACAACTCTGTTCACCAGCCTCTCTGTGTTTTGGCTTGGCCCGTGCTCTCATTTTATGTGCACAGTCCACCTCTGTATACACCACGTGTAACCATAAATAATAAAATCCTGTAGTTTCCAGGCCATCAGATACCTCGAACTAATATAAAGTAAACACACCCCTGAAATATGTTATGCATCATGAAATGTTGGGAAGCTGGCTTTCCCAAGTAAGGAGACACGCATTTTATAACTTGTTGTGACAGCTCCCCTTGAATTTATGTACAGAGAAACACCAAATTCATGCTCTGCTATGGTTTTATTTAGTTATTTATTTTGAAGTGTGTCTAATGTTTCCAAGGAGTATTTTTATTCCATGTGAAAGTGGCGATCCTCTTTTCGTTCTCTTGTTCTTACCCCCCAGCTATGTGGTGAACATGGGCTTGATTGACAAGCTGTATGGCTGCTTCCTGTCTGTGCAAGGCCCAGTGGATGAGAACCTGAAGATGGCCGCCTTTCTCCAGTACGGTACCGCGCTGCTCCATGGGATGTGCAAGCTGTGCTTCGCTGTGACCAGCCGGTGAGCCGACCCGGAGAAACGGGCATTCCTTTCCCCAGATCCCAGGCCTGTTGCCATGTCCAGCTGTGACAACCAAACTGCTTCCTTACTGGTGTGGAACAAGGCTGAAACGCACCTGTCCAATCCGATCAGGGCTTATAGAGCAAGAAGGACGTTTGGTGTTGTATTGTCACCAGTAGGAAGACATGATTATGCAAGTGCATTTTTTGTTTCACAGTGTGAAAATCACAGAATCACAGAAAATCAAAGATATTCAGCTTTTAGCCCAAGTCCCTTATTGTTAATCAGTTATATAATTATATTTGGATATATGTGTGCATTTATAGCCCTCATAAAACTGGATTGCTTTTGGTCTGCTGAATACAGAGCCACTGTGAGTTGAATCCCATTTTGACTCTTTGACACTGCCCAGTCCAGTGCTTTCAGGACACCAAACCAGGCCAAACCAAAACCATACGATTTAAAAATAGCAAATTTCAGCATGTTTGTAGAAAGCACACATCAAAGTGATAACTAATTGAAGTATGTTTAAAACATTTAATCTAAGGCTGAAGCCCAAAATCTGTGATTGTGATAAAAATATACACTTACAAACTCGTCACTGCTTTTTAAGAAATGAGAATCAGATTCATGTGATTGAACCTTGCCTTTGTCATTTGCGATCGAATGATATTTTACCTCTGTTAAATGACAACAGTGCCTTATAGCTACACCTGCTGAGGGCTGTATCAATGTGCAGCTCTTCGACACTCGCTGGAACATGGCTGTCACCGAATCTCTGTGAGAAAGAGATCGAGATCATGTTCTTACTTGCATGGGCTGGAGTTAATGAATGATTCATGCCCTCGAACTAAAGCAGGATTTAAAATGACTGTTGTTATATACTGCATAATCTGGATATGCACCTAGTTTGAATAAATCTATCATTTATGTCTCTCGGTTATCTTTTAGAGTATCATTCCATATATTCTTTGTGATGGAAGCAAAAACAATGCCAACAGAATGAGTTCTAAAGAGCTACACAGTAAAACTACAGACCTGTATGCAGAGTAATTTAGGCCTGGTCATAAGCTGCAGGTGGAATTGTGGTACGTTCTTTAAGAGTTCGTCTGTAACAGGACCTCTTTATTAGTTATTTATATATTAGGCAATGTTTTTACTTATGGTGTATGTAATTTAGGAAACACATTAAAAATAAAGTTTAGCCCGTGGCTGCTTATAGCAGCTTAAGTAGTTTTGTAGGTATTAAATATTGGAGCTGTTTCCCTCAATGAGGCTAGTGGCACATGCATTAAGCTGCATTGTGCAACAACCTTAAGAAACATTGAAGTTGAAAAGCAGACAGAGATTTAACATAAGGGTTTTTGTGTAGCAGGGCAAAGCTTTTTCATGATTTTCAGTATTCCATATGCTCTTACTCCTCTTTTTGTGGGAAAGACACTGGATCATTTTGCTTTTCTACTTGTCATTTCTTGTGTAGATTTCTTTCCAGTGTTTGTTTTGACAATCCATTGATTGCCTGGGTCTGCCGCACACAATCCTGATTAAACCCAGTGTGCAGCCTGATCATTTGAACACTATTCACTGGGACAAGGCATCATGTTCTGTTTAATACATACTGACCTCAGCAGAACGTTGAATGTTGAAAAAACTGCCCCTTCATAAAGTAAAAGGACTTCCGGGATCAATGCTGTGATGCAGTTACTGTTGTACCATGCCAGAGGAGATAAATTAGGGAGTCTTAAAGAGCTAATTGTCCTTTTCTTTTGAAGTTCTTACCATCTCTTGGACGTTTCACAGCTTGTTGTGGCTTATTTAGGGCAATTCAAACTTGTATAGACACAAGTGCTCTCTCCCTATTAGAAAGAAAGGAGGCCCTCTTATTTCAGGGTGACACAGATCTTTTTCCTGTTACTGATAAATTGTAGGCGCACTTGTGTTTAGATTAATGAAGTGATACAAAATTATCTTGGTAAGCATCTTGCTCACCTCTTACTTAGAACTAGCAAACTAAACTAAATTAACTAAATTTTTAATAACCATTGTTAATAACAATAACAATAACCATTGTTTCCTGAAAAGACAGCTTTTTTAAGACCTTCAGAAACATTAGGTGCTTTAGAGAGATTTGGCATGAACAAATGAAGAATGTAGTATCACATTAGAATAAAAAGCACTTCCTGCAAGTAGCATTTTTTTCTTTTTTCTTCCTGTAAATGTGGAACATGCAGGAAGACCTAGAAATGTAAATATAACTGCAGATTGACTACAATATTTTCAGTAACGTAAGAGGAAACTCTAGAGCCAGTCATTCTCCACCTGTCAACATAAGTACAGAGTAAGAAGCGATTAGAGTTTAGTTTGCAGGTCTGATTGGCAGCTTCTTGGAACTCAACTTAATTCAAGATTTTTAATTGTGCTGCAGGAATTTACTTTCAAATTCACTTTCTTAGTTTATAGGTTCTCATTTATAATGAAAAGGTGAGGAGTTGCATGTCAAAAGCAGTATTCTATGGACCTTTTCCATGTAAGGTATCAGCTAACATAATTTCCCTTTAATAGTCAATTTTGTTGATGAAGGTGTACCATTTTTTCCCTTTAAGACTAATACGACTGTTAGGGTAAATAGGATCTACTTTATTTGCAAATGCAGAAGTAAATTTTAATCAGTTAAGCAATCTCTATAGATCTTTTGGAATGCATCAGGTTGTTCTGAACTCTGCATAGCATTTCTTAGACACACGTCAGTAGAAATCATGCAAGCATTATTTAGTAAACCTTGAATCAACACTTTCCACTGGGCAAAATTATTGGGATTGTCCTAAGTGTCACCATACAATTGGCCACTGGGATAGGGGGTTAGGTTCATCAGACAGAGCCTCCAGTCAGCACTATCTAACCAGTAAGGTGCTTTGCAGCTTTGTGTCCCAGACAGGTTGGTGTGTCAGAGGAGCATGTCTATGAGTCTTCACTCCTCCTGTACATTACAGACCGCCTAGTTAAATAATAAAACTACTGGTTATATAAAAATAATTCCAAAATCTGTAACTTACAGTAGGTTCACGTTTTCTGCACCTAATGAGTATAAATATTGTTAAGGATGTGAATGAGGGTGATTTGTAGCCTTTCTCCACATATCCTTGACGTCTATGTGCGTGACATACCGGGACCTTTGGAGAAAGCCTGTTACTTCCATCTAGTTTTTCTAGAACAGGCCATGTTAAACAAACACAAAGGCCATGTGGAAACTCGGCGATACATTCGTCTCCAGCTCTGTCTCTGATGGTGGCATCAAGTGCTGACTTCTGACCTCTTGGCTCCAAATGGAAGCTCTTGAGTGCCAGCTGACAGTGCCGACAGAGCTGTGTGCATGAAACACTGCGACTGGGGGGTGGGGTGGGAGAGTGTCTCCAAGGTTGGAAAAAAGCCTTCTGGCTTTCCTTTCCTTTTCTTTTTTTGCTTTTTGTCATATTCTCTCTAGACAGCCAGCCAAGTTTATATGGATTAATGTACTGTACACTTCCAGAGACCTCAGCAAGTGATTTAGCAACACATGGCCGTAGGGAGACTGAGCACATGATTAAGGCCTTCTGCTTCAGGACTTGAGAATGTTGGCATACTGTACATGATGCTTTGCTGTGTTTAGCCTATAACAGCAACAGGCAAAATGTTCTGATATTACTGCTAGTAGTAGCATTTCTTACAACAGCTAAGCATCTGTTTTTGAGTGTGGGATAGCTTTTGATCTAAAATATTTGCAGGATTATTTAGCATTAAACACATTTTCCCATCTGGCCTTGTGTTTATTTGCAAATTCAGGTCAATTCTGTGTTTGTAATTTTTTTTAATGTGTTGCCGTACCTTACATTTAATATTTCCACTAATTTGTAGACAGAATCTAATTAAGAAGTTAGTTAAATCACTTGTTATTATGGACATTGAGGGACTCCTCTTCTCAAATTGCTCTGACGTTCGGGCAAAAACAAGTAGGCCTTTTCATGCTACAGTCAGTAGGTCTGAGGTATTTAGTAGTTCAGTGAAGCTCTAATAGTCCTTTGCCAAGACATAAGGACCTCTGAGCCAAGCTGGGAATAATCAGGAAGACCAGCTATTTCACACCCTGATAGGTATTAGTCTTTCTGCATTACGGCTGGGAAGCTTTAGTGTGTTTTGGCAGATATGTTTCACGCAGGCGTTGCCCAGATGGTGAGTAGGAGTAATCTGAATCTTATTAGTATAATTATGTTTTTGTCACCGATTTGGAAGACGCTTTCATGCCCTCTCTAGTTTGTTGCTTTTTGGTTTTCAAGACGTAGGAAGAGCTACAAACGGGAGGAGATCATTCAGCCCATCTAGCCTGTCTGTTTGGTAATTAGTAGCCAACCTGCAGGAGTCGGCCAGCTGTTTCTTGAGAGACGCCAAGGGGAACAGCTCCAGCACCTGTCACCTGAAAAGCTTGGCGTTCAGAAGCATTTGAAGCCTCCCACCCCTCAGATCTGTTCTGGTTTCTGACACTCAGGAATTTGTGCACTGCTTTAAATCCCTCAGTGATACGTCCAGCTTGGTGCGCTCAACATTGCGGCAGCTTGCCAGAAGCCTGTTTGTTTGCCAATGCATTAACATTAGAATTAGACAAAGTTGACTCTGGTCTGCTTCTGTAAGGTTTGGCGGGACAGGGGTTAGCAAAAAACATGGGTTTTAAACCCTGCAGTAAATTTGCAGGCTGCAGTAGAAACCCTGAGGAAGTTTTAGGGGAGAAATTTCACAGCTGAATTTGTGATGTCTTTCTCACTTGAACTTGGAGGATTGCTCAAGGTTTCCCAACATCACAGCAATTCTCAGTTTCTCAAGAACAATGATTATTTACAGTAGCCGTCCAGTACCATAGATACCTCTTTCATCCGTTCATCAGAAATGGTGGCCGATAGATGCTGAAGTTAGAGCAGTGTAGTAACTTATGTTCATGAAATCTTGGTTGGTCAGGCAGTAAGTCTGTCCCTGTGGTAAACCACTGAAAACTGAAATAAATACAATGAAGGGCTTTCTGGTTTCAGAAACAGACATGGTGCTACAGCACATGTGACTAAATGACCTGAAATATCTGAACACCACCACAGCATATCCACTCAGATTTGGAAACTATCTTTCAAGTGTTAATTTGTCAAAAAATGACTCCCCATCAGTCGTTAGGTCAAAACTCCAAACTGTCATGTTAAACAAAACTCAAATCCAAGAAACGTTCAAGCTAAGACTTTGGTCAGAACATGTAGCGTTTTCTAGTACTGGACTTTATTCAATAGAGTGAATTAAATGTTAGTTTTGTGTGACCTATTTGCTGAATGCGGGATTTCTGATTGTCCTCCAGTGACAGTCTGGTGACTAGACAAGCTCAGTGAATGCAGCAGTTTCAGAGAATGGAGAAGATACATGGGGCATGTCCAAGTGAATAGAAGTGTGTGGATAAATAATGACAATATAATATAATAATGTCAATATTTAAAATGCACTGTTTTACAGATGCATGTTTTTACAAAGATGCAATTTGTTTGAAGTCCAAATGCCAGTGTTTAGGCAGCAGGGCCACTGTCATGTCAACACCAAAGAGGCTCTGTTAGGGGTCCTTGCACAGAACACACAGTTCAGCACATGCACGTCTTTCTGGCCTTAAAAAGCACAGTAGCTCTTCTGAAATAAAGTAAATGCACAGCAGCATCAGTAGCACATGAATGATGCCTGACACTGTACAGTTGGCTGAGCTTTCTCATTTCACCCATTGCTTTTGTCAGTTCCCCCAGCATATTTGACAACAAACGGCAGGATCCAACTGGACTGGCTGCGCTGCTTCAGTCCACAGATTTGGTGGGGGTGCTGCACATGCTGTACTGCATCCTCCTACACGGGGCCACGCAGGACCCCAACACAGCCAGTCCCGTGGAGGGTTACCCCCAGAGTGTCATCCAGGTGGCCATCCAGAGCATTCGCTTCCTGAACAGCTTTGCTCTTCTGGACCTCTCAGCATTCCAGGTAAGACTCCCAGAAGCCTCTGCTCAGTCCCAGAATCCTTCTCTCTGGGGCTGTCGCACTGTCGGCAGTCAACAGGCTTATTTCTGTTTTCAGGACCCTAACGATTGATACATTTTACATTTTTTGCTAAAGTTTAATGACCCCCCTGCAAAAGTCCGTTTTCAATCGGCAGACCGTGATATACCTTACTGTTTCATATCGTTAGATGTGAAATTTGTGACAATGACTGATGTTTTTTCAGCAGAAAAAAAAAATCTGAAAATGTTTTCCAGAAATACATGATGCAAAAACTGTTGACCCAGTTTCATGACGAGTCGTTGTTTTGTGCCCGATTTTTTACATCTAAATGCAAACATTAAATTTGAAACCACCCTTTGTATTTTTAAAGAGCCATGCAAGAACATAACCTACAAACTTGACAGTCCAAACTATTGGTCCATCAAAAGGTCTTGTCAAGGGGGAAACCCTTTCAGTCTTATAAGCAGGGGTCCTCATATTTCTGTGCTTGGCCATTAGGCAATGCACAAATATCCTGACTCCAGTAGCTTGCAAAAGATTCAAAGAGCAGCTCAGTGGAGCTCCTCAGCTTCTCAATAGGAAGCAGCATTTCCTTCAGAAGAAAGGGAACCTTTTGTACATAAACTTGTGCGCCCTGTGACCTGGAGTAATCTGTTAAGGTTAGACAGAGCGCAAGGGGTCATAACATAGGTGGACATGTATAATTAGTATAGGAGACATAGCTTCTCAAGCATCCCCAATGAGAAAGGCCGGCAAGCTCTGTCTGCTACATCGGCAACCTTGTGGGAGGAAACAAGGGCATTATTCATTTTTTAATGTCATCATAATTATGCTGGAGCTGATCAGTTGCCACTGAGCTGCTCTTGGTGTATTTGAAACAGCTGCTGGTCAAAGCGTTTCAATAGGTACTTTTTATGTACATTTTAAATAATACACTTTATGACCAAAGTTGTAATCACCTTGTGGTTCAAATTATCCTGTTCTGGAAGCTAATAGGTGCTTCAGAAGTAGGAGCTGAACTCTCTGGCTTGTTCAAACTGCCTGTGAAAATCATACTTTCCAACGGGCGTTTGAACTTCAGGACTGTATTGCATAAAAAAGACCCTGATCCAACAGCCAATAGCCTTTTGAGAAAGCCACCTGCTTGTTTTTACCCTTGTGTGCCTGTGTATTTTGTCATCACCTCTTTTGACAAGACCCGTAAACTAACCTGTAGACCCGTGTTCTACAGGTTAGTTCCAGTGCAATAATAGTGATGAACATGTGCCCTATCATTGACTTCGAGGCGCTAATGAAAGCCTTGTTTTGACATGAGCTCAGGAAATAACAGTCAAGTACTTAAATGCTTTTTAAGCACACATTCCCTGTAGGATGCTAAGCAAACCAAAAAGTCTGATGTGTCTTGTGTGTCTAGTAAGATGACAGCAAAGCTATGTTTTGTGGCTGGCTTTGTGAATCGGCGTCAGCGTGGGTTGTTTGAAGGATGCAGAGGTTTACAAGCGGACTGGCCTAAATTAGCCCAGTGCGCTTGGCAGGTCTGGAATGTAAACAGCAATGAGAGACTTGCTCTGGTGGACAGTTGGAGGCAGCTTCTCAGGTATTGTTGTTTGCGCGGCTGTTTAGATGCCCCCACTTGATTTGATTTGTTTCTCTCCTGACCTCCTGCTGCTCTGTCACATTGACATGTTTAATAAATACTGTCTGAGGGCCGCCGATCCTATCTCTTCGGCTGTGGGACCGGAGTCCCTTTTTGGGGGCTGGAGTCTCAGGTGTCGTCTGCTCCTGGAGCAGAACGATCCTCGCACAGTCAGCGAGCGGCGAATCTCAGCGCTCATTCTGCCTTCAGCGGCACTGGAGTTAACAGTGTGCCCTCTCTCGGCTTGTCTTTTCTTTTAAACATTGCTTTCCTCCTCCCAGTCAAGCCTGGTAAAACCTGGGTGAGAGGCGTTTGGTCATACAGCGAACGATACACATCCATAACAAACACGTTGCTTTTCATTTTGGTTTATTAACCTACTGACATCAACTCATTATTACCAAAAATCACAGGAAAAGTGGAATTGCCTTCATGGTGTGCATTGGATACTTCTATAATACTTAATAGTTATAATAGTTACTTCTATAGTACATAGTATTCTTTTGTCTGTCCTGTTATACTTCCAAGAACTTCGAACTATTAAGAATTCAACTTAGTCAGTCATTGTTTTAGGCCTTATTGTAATGCAGCCTCAGAATAGCTTGTCAGCAGCATGACCTCTTTCTAGCCTCTAGGCAGTATTGTGATGCAGGAATTCCAAGGAAATGATGTTGGTGGACCAGTAGGTGGCGCACTTCCCACTAGACTCACAAAATAAACTTTGTCCCAGCATGGTGTGACCCGGTTGCCGTCCATCAGATGAGATCCGTTAGTTAAACCAGAGTCTTCGTTTCAGTGACTGCTTGGTCATTAACGATCCCGTGACAGGGTTGAAAAGAAGCAAGTTTTGAAACTCGTTTACCTGGCTAAATTCCACCCTGGACTTGTACAGCCTAGCCTTGCCTTCCCGGCAGGCACAGGGTGGAAATATTGTGCATGGAAATGTGGTAGAAGGGTCTGCGAGATGTTCGTCAGCCAAGGGGGAAATGGCAAAATTCCAACCAAAGATAATTAGGCTATGGGCTTTATCCTGACGTTTGTTTGGTTGGCTGGTTGAATGAGAGTCTCATTCGCAGTTGCCTGGCTGCTTATCTCTTACTGTGTTTTGTCGAAGTCTGTTCTAGGTGCTGAGGGTCTCTCTCTGGCCTTCCGCCACATTATCAGCTCCCTGCTGTGGTACTGCTCCCACCACACCTGCGAAGAGCTACTGCACGAGGTGATCATCTGCGTGGGCTACTTCACCGTCAACCACCCCGACAACCAGGTAACCCTTTCTGCTCAGCCGGCCCACTGCCCCTGGAGACCTGCACAGAATCGGCAACTGGTTATCGAGCAGTGCAGTCCTGCCCCCGAAGATTAGTGTTGAATTGAAACGTCGATTAGGACAAACAGATGGAACCTGAAATCGAGGGGGGTGCGAAAAATTGTTTTCCTTTCTCTTCAGGCATTGCCCTTCGTCTTCCTTAACTTCTTCCGCGTGCTGGCTAATCCAGGCAGGCTCTTGCAAGCGTCCTTCGCTTTTAAGTATGGGTAGCCCTCCTGTAACATGACCGATGGTCCTGAAAAGTGCCACTCCTGATCGCAAAGTCAAACAGGAATTTATTAAACTGGGGTGGAGCGACGCTGTGGGTCCACATCCCTCCAGAGGCCTGATCTCCCAAATAAAAACTTTCACACACATTTTTGTCAGATGTTTATGTAGTTGGACTTTAAGTTAATTTTTAAACAGATTGATCATTTTGATGGATTTCATGTAAAATGTGTAGGGATGACTGACTTGTTTTGGGTGGTGGCGAACGTTGTGAGAAATGCTGGAGTACCCTTAGACACATCTGGACTGCACAGCTGTCTTCTGTCCCTTTACTCTCAGTGAGCCTTTTAAATGTCATTTATTTTAAAGTCTCAAAGTAACATTCAATTTATATTTTCCCTGTTTTCTTATGATGTTTTGTTTAGAAACTCTTCGTTTTTAAGTCTTTTTCACACTGTTTCTAGCTTTGTATTCATTGATTTTATATTAGATTTTGTTTAATGCCAACATAAGGCACTCACATAGATAAGATATTTTTAGATGAATTCAGTAAACGTGAGAGGATGGGAGATATTCAGTGGCTGGAGGAACTGGAGACAGAGACTGAGCAGCTGCCTTTGTGTCTCCCAAGCAACTATTCATCCCAGCATACAACTGGGTACACCTGGCAAATATTCTGGCCATTAAAGTGAGAACTAATTATTGTAAATTAAGGAGTGGTATATATTCTTGAGATGCGATAAAACAGATTCACACAAATTAGGAGCACGTAAATCGAGAACTACTTGTATGAAAGTTGTGAAAGTTGCACAAAAATTTGTCCTGTCCCCTGTGTTTATTCCTAATTCACTAATTAAATGAAGAAGCACGTTGGGTTTTTTTTTTAAAAAAAGGAAACACAAAAGTAACAAAAGGTGCCTCTTAAATTTTTTAAATGCCTTGGCACCTTCGCCCAGTCCAGCAGCTGTGTGATTCAGAGTGACCTGTTGTTGTGAGGTGGCAGAGCCTGCATGTACGGAGCAGGAGAGGATTAATCTGCTGTGCACCGTGTGTTGCGTAACTGGCTTCCATGCGTGGTCTGTCAAGCTGGCACCAGTTCACAATGTCTCACAACTGGCTGTCCTTTAGTTAAGTGAAGCTGGTCCCATGGTGCCAGCCGTGGACTCTTCAGGGAAAACGTTGCAATAAAAATAATGCCCTCACGCATGCCACAGCCATTCAACAATTTACGGGCAGATTACAGATTCTAATTAAATTTTTGTGGTCTTAATTAAAGAATCTGCTCCCATTTTATGACAGTTCAGTTCCCCTCCACTACTCCTATCCAATTTAATTATTCTGATGTACATAATTAGCATGTGGTGGCCATTGTTCATTGCATTTGCATATTATATTGGATAATTGAATGGGGGCTGATGATTAAATTAGGGGGGATGACAGATGATTCAGCTTTGTTCATGCACAAAAAAGTTAGCTGAATGACTACGCTGGGAATAGCTGCTTTTGCATATTCATTTATTCTCCATGCAATTTGCTAATTTAAAAAATCTGTTGCAGCAAAGTATTTAAACTTCTGATCCTAGCTGCAGGACACAAGCTGCTGTGTTACTTCACCCTTGGCTACTTTTCATCTTATATTATTACAAACGCCCTCAACATACTGAACAAAGTGACGGGGGAAATAAAATACTTGCAAGAAAACTGATCTGCCAATGGGATTTTTTTTTTTGGTGCGGGTATTGCCTTTTTCTGCCTCTTACAATACAGCGAGCCTCAATTTAATCGAAGACCAACTATAGTATACTATGCTGGTTGACTCCACTGTGGCAGACAGTGCTTTACAGTATATGCTTCGAATCTGAAATAATTAATCACTTAGATGTTATGAACATGGTTGGGTTTCTAGTGATATAATGGTTTTTGATTCCTGTTGAACACGGGTATCCTTGTCATACAGCACAACATATTTAAGAGAAAGTACTTTAAACAGCAGACACAGTAAGCACATTAAATTAGATTTTTTTTTGTTAATTAAGTTTTAATGTATTAGACTGATATATATATATAGAGTAATGATTCACAGTCTAGTAATTTTGAGTACTAGTTTTAAGACATTAAATGACTAATGTGGAATACATGGGAAAATATTTTCTGTGAAGGTAAGATTTAATTATTTACAGTCTGAACATGTGCTTTGTGGTGGTGGGAATGAGTGAATCCTGCAGTTTGAGACTAGGGAAGAAAACCTTTTAATTTGTGTCTAATGCCCAAGAAATTGCCAAATGTATGAAAAACACCAAGTATTTTGACAGTATAAAGTCTGACACTCCTGAATAACCTACAGCTACTTGACCAGTAATTCAACCATTCAATGTAGCAGGATTTCGTAAAATGTCAAAAGTCTTAGTCTTGCCAGTGTACTACACTTTCAGAAAAAGGCAAGATGGATTGAGCCAGTGCAGGGCCATTCATTTCAGAGCAGTTCAGTAATGTAAACACAGCCTATCGCAGCTTTCCAAGTCAGGGGCCTGCATGCTTTTTTAAGATTCTTTCAGATTCTGCTCCATCTGTCTCGAAATATAATAAAATAAAACAG